TTCCTTTTTCTTCTTCTTTTTGTTCTTTCATTCACATTCATTTTCATTCATTCATTCATTCATATTCATTCATTCCTTCATTCATTCCATTCCTTCCTTCCTTCCTTCATTCCATTCATTCATTTATTCAATCAATCATTCATTTATTATCTACACCCGTTTCTCTGTTTCTCTGCGCTTTCCGAGTTTTTTTAACGTTTTGGAGTAAAATGCCTTTAAAAACTTTGGAACAAATGTCTTAAAAACACGATGACAATGGGCAATGATAAAATCTTGCCTAGTAGATAATTTTTGCCTCGTTTTGGAAGCGTCTAGGTAAGAGATTAACAAAAACAATAGCTACAACGAAAAGTCGTGGGCTTGGAAAACTACTCATTCATTGACTGTCAACTACGAAAGCAAACGGAATTAGAGCATACGTCATAGACTCTAGTAATATTTCTTATTTTAAAGTGGTATTTATAACCCCTATTGTAATGTTTGTTTGCATTTGTTTATTTTACTAAATAAAATACCGTTACCATAGGCGAGATTATATGTACAAGATGGTGCATCAAAATTAGCAATTCTTATTTTGTATTCCTATAAAATTCCCAGAAAAAAATTGGGGGAGGGTGATTCTATAGCAAATTCATTGGCTGACGAGCAAGTTCTAAAACAGATACCCCGAAACGAGACGCTTCAAATTTGCTATAATCAAATTTGCTAAAAGTAACGAATGATGTAGCAATTCCACGAAAACCCGAAGTCATTCGAACGATTATCGATTGGCTAGTCCGAGGGTCACGTGCCCGAATGTTATGCGCAGTCGGACCCTGACGGAGGGAGGTTAGAGAAGTTGAACTGAACGAAAATGGTTCACTTTACCCTCAAATATATCTTTTACCCATTAGTCTATCTCATTTAAAACTGTGTGGACGTGTTGTACCATATCTCAAAGACTGCCAGATGTCGAAAGTTTGTATGGCGGCTGTGAATGATAACGACAGAACCTACACTCTTAGTAGGCTACAAGAAAGGTTCCCAGAGATTCCGGAAGGTGTTATCTCCAAAATACTCGCTCAAGTAAGTACCACCTTACTCCACTTTAACCAGGCATTCTGTCTCTCTGAGGATCTAGATTCCAAGATTAGATATTTACCCACATTCTGGGTTAGTTTGGTTAGAAAGCATTCATATTTTTGAGCTGAATTAACTCGTGTTTAATTGTGTTATTGTTGCTTGTTGTTGGTGAAGTTCGTCAACCAATGTCGCCCAAGAGATACACAATTTAGCTGAGCTTGTTGTATTTTATTCCTCATATTTTAGTAATAAGGCGTCAGGCTAAAAACATTTAGGGCTGTATGTATTTTCTTGTATACGCATTCTATATATTTTTGCAATAATGAGGTTTCGACAACAGCAGCCAGCTTCAAATCTTGCAACACTTTTACTCCATCTTGTATTTCTTTCTTCCTTTCGTGGCTTTCGTTTATCAAATCGAAAGTTCTTTAAAATGAACTCGTTTGTTCTTTACCATTGGTCCTTTCTATAGTCACGCCATCAAACTACCTTAACGACAGATATCGGGTTTTGTACTTTGTTTATTGGTAATGCATTGCAGCTTTTTGATTCAAATCAACTCTACCTATATTTGTCAAAATTTTGGAACAAGTTTAATTTAGTAATCACCTACTAATATCAAAGCAATATCAAAAAACCCCAAGAAAATTATTCTGTTACCTAAAACTTTTGCAGTAAGACTTTGGAGTTTACTTCAGTATCTCAAAATTTGAAATTAAATTGTTCAAAAATTACAAAAGTCTTTACTTGGTCTGTAAATTTCTGGGCAAAATTCTGGGGTAGTTAGCCTAAATGCAATTTGGAAAATTGAATTTCTTTTCTTTCTTATTTAATTTCATTTTGTCCCAGTTTCAATCATGGTCTATTGAAGCTACTTAGGTATATTTTTCTCAAAAGTTTTGTTTCTAAGCACTAAAATTTTGTAAGGAATGGCAATGTGTTATTGTGTAATATATTATGTGTGTACATTGAATACATTGCAATTAAAATAAAAGAGGCTTTGCACCATCATTTGACAGCAGCCTTGTTAGATGGCAGGAACAAAATGATCATTTTACATGAGAAAGAATTCTATTCCCTAGAGCAAAGGGATTTTATTGTTATGCCATCTAACCAAAGGCAGTCCAAGCTGTATTATGTGTGCCAGCATATGATGGTGCAAAGCCTCTATTGCAAGTTAAATTTAAATCATTTACCCCCATGTAAATATTATCTAGACTGGAGTTTCCATTGAAGGTTACTGAATAAGATTGTTTTCATTTTAGTATGCAAATAACATGGAAAAGTGTCTTACGATTTTAAGCCAAGAAAGTGATAAATATCTTTATGGCGAGAGTATGGATAGTCCTGGGTCTAAGAATTCAAATTCAATTATGGAGCCTCTTCGTATAAATATACCTTCAAATGACACAGACCTTTCTAGAGAAATGGACTCTTTTGCTATATTACCACAAACTACAAAGACAGTAGCAGTTCCATCATCTAGTGGAACAACCATTTTTTCTAACCTTTCAAGGGAGCGTCATCATTCTGTCGATGACTATAATGATTATAATCGAAGTAAGTATCATAGTATAGTATTGATAATAATACTTAGAAAAGAGACTAATGTCTAAAACATCAGTGAATTATGTATGTGTCCCAGGACTCACTTCACTTGTGTTGACAAGGGCTTCCTAAATGTTGATTGGCACCCACAACACAATGATGGGATCCAAATGTGTCCCAGGACTCACTTACTCGTGTTGACAAGGGCTTCCTAAATATTGATTGGCACCCACAACACAATGCTTGGGATCCAAATGTGTCCCAGGACTCACTTCACTTGTGTTGACAA